CAGAAACCCCCCCCCCAGCAGTTCTTGCAATAAGCCGGGTGAGAAGTGATGAGGGCCGGCTCCGGGCTGGGGACTGTGTCGGAGGAGAAAAACGTACGCTCGGAAAACTGTGGAGCTGGAAGTGAGAGGACCTGGCAGCTGACTGGGTGTGAAGGGTTCGAGGGTTAGGAGCAGGAGATGGCAATGACGCCGCAAACCCGAGCATGCGGTAACGGAGGGGGCAGGTGGGGACCACCTGTAGGAAGGGCTGACTTGTACAGTCGTAGCCACGTGCACCTGGAGATGCCTGCGGGACCTCCTGTCCTGGACACCCAACAGGTGCTGGACACGGGGACTTCTCCGGGTGATGACACCAGCTCCCACGGCTTACTGACCACCTCTGTGCCGATGATTCTCAGATCTCCCTTTCCTAGGTCAGCCTTTCTGCTCACCTCTAATCTCACACGTCCAACTGCTGTTCAGACATCTCAAATTGGATGTCCAGTAGACATCTTACACTCAACATGTCCAAAACTGAACTCGTTCTCCTTCCTCTCCTTCCCTTCCCTGGCGCTGTCGAGGGCACCCCCATCCTCCCAGGCCCTTAGGCTCCCCTCTCTCCCCCCTCAGATCCAACATGGTGCCAAGGCCTGGCGAGGTCACCTCTGCAGCATCTCTCTAATATCTGCCCCCTTCTGTCCTGGGCTATTGCCCCTCGTCATCCCCTCACGGCCAGACGACTGCAGTAGCTGCCTTCCCCTCTAGTCCGTTCAGCCTGCAGAGAGTCTGAGTGGGTCACCTCCCACTCAGTAAACATCAGTGGCTCCTTATCACCTTCAGGACCAATACAAAGTGCTCTGCTTGGCTTTTTTTTTCCTTAATTTTTCTTTTTTTTAGGCAATTGGGGTTAAGTGACTTGCCCAGGGTCTCACAGCTAGTAAGTGTCAAGTGTTTGGTCTGAGGCCGGATTTGAACTCAGGTCCTCCTGACTCCAGGCCCAGTGCTCTATCCACTGCGCCGCCTAGCTGCGTCTCTGCTTGGCTTTTAAAAGAAGAGCTAAGTAGCAAGGTAGATGAGTGCTGGCCTGGAGTCAGGAGGACTTGGGCTCAAAACTGACCTCAGGCACTTACTATCTGTATAGTCACCATCTCTGTGACTGGGAAAGTCACTTAACCTTTGTCTCTCTTAGGTTCTTCAACTGCAAAAAAAAAAAAAAAAAAAAGTAATAATAAGAGCATTTACCTCCCAGAGTCATGAGAATCAAATGGGTTATTTGTAAAGTGCTTAGCACAGTGCCTGGCACATAGTAGGTCCTTAATAAATGATTATTTCCTTCGTTCCATACCCCAGATGGAGGATGGATTGGTCCCCCAGCAGGACACTGCATGAGTCCACGTGTGGGGTGATGAGGGCTGCACCAGGGTCGGGGCAGCATCAGAGGAGAGAGAGAGATATTGAAGAGATGCTGCGGAGGTGAAATCCATGGGCCTTGGCACCATACTGCATCTAGGGGGTGAGAGAGAGAGTGAGGAGTCCGGCAGGACTGGGTTGGGACCCTGAGAGACTGGGGATGGTGGCACCCTCCACAGTAATAGGGAAAGTAGGGGGTGGGAGAGTTTTAGGGGAAAGATAATGAGTTGGTTTGAGGGCATAGTTTAAGCTCTCTACTGGACATCCAGCTTCAGATGTCTGAAAGGCAGGTGGAGGTCAGCAGGGTGACAAAGGTAGGAAAGATGGTCATGAAATGCATGGCGGCTGCTGAGATCACCAAATGAAGTAGGCTGGAGGGAGAGAAGGGCCCAGGGCAGAGGCCTGCGGGATGGGACTGGAAGGAAGATCCAGCCAAGGAGACAGAGAAGGAATGGTCAGAGAGGTGGGAGAACCGGGAGAGAGAAGGGAGGGGGTGTCCTGAAAACCCAGAGAGAAGAGAGGAGGAAAGAGAGAGGATGACCCGCAGTGCCCAAGGCGGTGGAGCGCCCGGAGACTGAGGCCTGACAAAAGCCATCGGATTGGCCACTCAGCGGTCACTGGTCACTCGGGAGACAAAGGTGTCTGCTGAGAGAGTGGAGGCGCCCAGACTTTTGGAGGAGCGCGGCTGGGAGAACCTCAGCTGTCCTCCCACTTCCACCCCGGGAAGGCCGGGTCAGGCTGGACCACACCCTCTGGATCAGTGCAGCGAAGGGTCCGCAGGACGCTGGAGGGCACCTCGGCCCCAGCAGGAAGAACCTGCAGCCCAGTGCGGCCCTGGCAGTTCAGGGTCCTCCCCCTGGAACGGAGCTAGCTCCCCGGGAGATTGACGGGACCCAGCTGGCCTTTGTCCTCCACCTTCTGGGCCCTCAGCCGAGGCTCTGCTCACTCCTCCAGGAAGCCCAGGCTCCTTCCCTCTCTCTGCCCGATGCTGTTTGTATAGCGCTTACACAGTTATCCCCATTCTACAGATGAGGAAACTGAGGCAGGCAGGGGTGAAGTTAGGGACTCGCCTACGCATCTGAAGCTGGATTCGAACTCCGCGTCCAGAGTTGTCATTCTGGGGGTGGGCGCTGGTTAAGTCTCGGAGGGCAGGGCCTTCCTGGCTTTTGTCTGTACTGGGGGCACCGAAGGCTTGCCAAGGGAGTGCAAAGGGGCGGCAGATTCCAGGCATAGAGCGGAGGCTGTGCAAAGGTCTGGAGGTGGGAGATGGGGCCCGGCACTTTGCCTGAAGCAGGAAGGGGTGGGGTGGGGGTGGGGGGGGCCAGACTGTGAGGGGTCCTCCCTGCCTCGACTGTGGGCCTCACCTCAGGACAGTCCTGAGAGTTCCTCCAGCAGGGGGCGGCCCAGGAAGCAAGGATACCGGACCCATCGGGCCCATTGCACGGATAGACAAACTAAGGCTCGGAGACAGAAGGTTAAAGTGAGTAGCGACTGGATCTAAGTTCAACGGGCTCCGCAGGTCCGAATCTGTAGGGAGCAGGGCGCAGGCGCCGCGCCGAGGCGTCCCCGTTTCTCCGCAACACCATGACACTATTTCCCACAAGGCGCAGCTGGGGACGCTCGTGCTGTAGTCAAGGCGACACCCTGGGTGGGGAGGACGCGCTGACTGTTTCCATGGAGCCGGCCCGGGCCTCGGCTGACGTAGGAGGAGAAGCTCGGGCTCTAATTGGCTGATAGCGTGCGTTTGTCCCGCCCACCCCTTGGCAAGAGAGAGTCCCCGCTGTTCCGTGTGTGCGCGTGCGCAGTGGGAGCTTGCTCCATCAAGGCCGGAGGCATTCGGTGAGTGCGGACTGTGTGAGCTGCGGTCTTTTGGGTCCCCGGGGGACGGCTGGGGTGAGGGCGCAGTTGCCCTCCAACCCGGACAGTGCCCTTGTGGCCCGAGCCTTCGGCCCGGCCCCCTGAGAGCAGATGGCAGCCGGCCGCTTCCTCTGAGGCCTAGGGCTAACGGCGGCTGCGCGGGGGGTGGGGTGGGGGGTGGCGGCGGTGCTGGTGGTGTCTGCGGCGCGGTACCTTCTGGGAAACGTAGTTTGTGGGCCTTCATGGGGGAATGGCCGTGTTTCAGTCTGCGCAAGCGCGGGAGGAGGTTGAGCGCGCAGCCTCGTTCGCCTTTCGGGAAGTGTAGGCTGGGCGCTGCCTCAGAGGGAGGTGAGGACTGGAATGGGCGGGGGGAGGGGGAGGAAGAAGAGTGGAGCCGGGGGTGGGGGGTGCGGGACCAGGGAGTCTGTGAGAGACCCGGGAGAGCCTAGACCTCTGAGAGCGTAGGCTCACACAGGCTGCGAGGTGTGTGACAGAAGGGGAAACTGAGGCACGGGGGCAGGGCAAGAGAGGGAGGAACCTTAAGTCCCAGAACCCTGCCCTATCCCTGGAGTGCACGTGGACTTAGGCTGGGGGGCATCTGACAGAAAAGGAAACCGAGGCAGGGGGGAGGGAGAGGGGAAAAGCCCTGAGCCCCAGGACCCTGGGAGGGGGGGAGTCCTGAGTCCTAGAACCCTGCTCTGCCAGAACGCAAGCCTCAGAGAATCTGAAAAGAGGGGGAGACTGAGGCCGGGAGTAGAAGGAAAGGGATGAAGACGAACAGCTGGGAACTCTTGGAGCACAGGAGGGGGTGCTGACCAGGCGGGCGGCCAGAACCCCAGCCTGGCCCTGCCCTGCCCCTGGAGCACTCCGGGACTCGGGTTGAAGGCAATCTGACATTAGGGGAAACTGAGGAGAGGCTGGGCCTGGCCCTGCCCTCCCCGCCCCCATCTCCACTCCCAGCCTGGTCTGCTCAGGGCTCTCTGTGGGTTGCTGTCAGTGACCCCCTGATATGGGGTCAGCAGACCCCTGTGGCTGTCCTACAGTGGATGTGAGAGTGAGGAATGATCATTTCCCTAAGCTTCTGTTTCCTCATCTGTAAAGTGGGCTGAAGAAGCTTTCCTAGGCTGAGTAGGGGAAGGGCCTGGGAGAATGGCCCCCAGGTGACCTGTTGGTAGAGGGCCCCCAAAGCCCCAAGGCTGGTTTGGAGTCCAGTGGGAGGGAGGTCGAGGAGCCAGGTACCATGGCACCAAGAAGCCTGAGTTGGGCCCTGTCCTCAGGTAGCTTCCAGGCAGGGACTTTGTGCCAGGGACCAAGGAAAGGCTTTTTGGCTGCTGGAGCTGGTGGGGAGCAGCTGCCCCTCCCGCTGGGGCATCTGGCCCTAGCTGGCCTCTGCCTGTTCTTGGAGACCCCTGTCTACCTCCCAGAGCCTGCTTTTGTCCTGGATGACTGTCCCGACTTCTTTGGCCACTCCTCATGTGGGCCCTTGCCCGTCACCGTTACCCAGCACCATCCAGGTTATTGGGGTCCTAGACACCTCCTGTGGAGGCCTGAGCAGGGCACAGAACCGAGCCCCTGCCCTCGCAGCCTAGCAGGGTGCCCATCACTAGGACGCTATGGGCCAGAAGGTGGGGCTAGGGCAGGCTTGGGGGATTCTCCCTTTCCTCTCTGGGCCCATGGTCCTCACCACAGCACCACCCCCTTTGTTTGACACAGGAAGAAACTGAGGCCACGGAGAGCTGCTTCTGGTAGACTCCATGTCTCTGGGAGCCCCACCCAAAGGCCTCCCTCGGGCTCCTGCCCCTGGAGAGCGGAGTGAGAGCGTGTATGCCCATAAGAGCGTGGTGAGTGCCCCTGGGCTTTGGGCTCACTCCCCTCCAGCTTACATTTGGGTGGGACTGGGGGTCCGGGTGGGCTAAGGAGGTGCAGAGGCTTTGTGCCAGGAAGGGGACGGCATCTCAGGGCATCTATGTAGACATCCCTCCCTGCAGATGGATTCATAAGCACTTGGCGTGTGGTTGGGGCTTAATTGGTGCCCAGGCTGTGTGCCCCACAGTGCTCCTTCAGCTGTGCAAAGTGTGGCTGGATGGAAAGCCTGAGGGTTGGGGAGCAGGAGGGGGGCTGGGACCCCAGGAGATGCCTTGGTGGCACCCCGGCCCCTGCACTGAGGTGCCTGCGGGCCGTGCTCCCTCTCAGAACCCTCCCTGCTTTTGTCCTGGCGTTTAGGCCCTGCTCATGGTGGGGCAAGGGCATCTGTAGGTTTAGGGTGCCCGGGGAAGGCCATCCCCTTGGGCACATCTTCCCCGAGCAGCTTGCTTCTTTAGTACCTTGGACAGCGCACCCCTTCCCTCCCGTTTTCCCAGGGCAGCCCTCTCCTCCCAGCCCTGAAGTTGGCCCCGGGTCAAGTGTCCCTGAATCCCCCTCCAGAGCACTCCTTGCCGGGGGGCTGGTGCCCTCCATCCTGGGTCCTCTCGTGTCCTGCAGGAGCCTTTCACCCTGCCCTCATCCACTGCCTGACAAGGTGCCCAGTTCCCCCATGCTTACTACCCTCCCTGCCCCCTACAAAGAGCTGTCTACACCTGCTGCTGGCGCCTCCTCACTTGGCCTCCCGCCTCACCTGCTGGCCTCCTCTTAGCCCCCCTCAGCATCCCTGGACACGTCTTTCTCTCCTGATTCTCCTGATTCTGCTCGTCCACGGCAGGCGTGTTCTCAGGGCTCTGTGCCCAGCATCCCTGTCTGGCCCCGGGCTCTCCCCACCCTTACTGCCGGCCAATCGGCCGTCTGTCCAGGGGCACGGCTTGTCACCTCCTGTTTCCGGGAGGGTGCCCCGGCCCTCCCCTTCACCCCAGCCTCCGTCACCTCTTCCCTTTCTGCTCCCACGATGAGCCCCTGGGGATCACCTGCCTAACCCTAACCCTAATTGCGCTTCCACCCCCAGCCCTCGGCCCATCTTTCCGGGCAGGGACACACAGCACCATTCCCTGCTCTGGCCTGACTCCCTGTGCTTGGCATACTCACTGTCCCCTCCTGTCCCCCTTGGACCCTGAAGTCCCTGCAGAGAGCATCCTGCAGCCCCAGGCTCTGGCACCCCTGGGGGCTTCCTGCCCACGAGGCCCCTCCGACTCTGGCTCTCAGGCAGCCCTGGAGCTCACAATGCGGGGTGAGGGCTCCCTGAGGACTAAGGAGGGTGCCCCCAAAGGCTTTGAAAAAGGAGCAGGGGATTCCACAGGGGAATGTGAGAGGGTTGGGAGGCTGGGCTGGGCGCGCAGGCAGCGGGGAGCCCCTCTGAGAAGGGAGGCCAGAGCCGAGGCTGTGCTGGGCTGGGTCCCTCCTCCGCTCTTCTGTTGTTTCGACGTTCCCTTCTTCAGCACCCTTGGGAGGAGCTGCCCCAGACCCCCCGGGAGAGAGAAGCTGGGGGCCTGACGGTCAGGGGTGCCTGCAGAGCAGAGCCCAGTGACGGCCTGACCGTGCCAGCTGAGGAGGGGGCCTGGGGCCAGGACTCCAATGGCCCTGAGGCCTCACGCCAGCGATTCCGGAGGTTCCGCTACCAGGAGGCAGCTGGGCCCCGAGAGGCCCTGAGCCGGCTCCGAGAGCTCTGTGTCCTCTGGCTGCGGCCAGAGGTCAGCCCCAAAGAGCGGATCCTGGAGCTGCTGGTGCTGGAACAATTCCTGAACATCCTTCCCGTCGAGGTCCAGGCCTGGGTGCGGGTGCAGGGGCCGCAGAGCGCTGATGAAGTTGTGACCCTGGTGGAGGGCCTGCAGAGGAACCCCGCGAGGCTGATGCAGTGGGTGAGGCTGAGGCTGGGGGTGAGTCTGGGAGGGGCAGGTGAGGCAGAGGCTGAGGGTGAGGCTGGGGGGGCAGGTGAGGCAGAGGCTGAGGGTGAGGCTGGGGGTGAGGCTGGGAGGGCAGGTGAGGCTGGGGGTGAGG